AGGTCGGCACTTTCTCCCTCCTCAAATAAGCGCAGGACCTCTGTCACATCCATCACCTTCGCCGTTACAATCACCATCACAAATGGTGTCACCAATGATTCCAAAACAGGTGTCGCCACCGCCTGCAGCGGAAGCGGAAACGCAATGGTGGAGCGTTGCTAAACAAACGGAAGTGAAATATCCAGTGCCACACCCGTTATTATTTAGTCACGGAAGTGCAACAGATAGACAATACCAGGCACACTTGGCGTCGTTTCTACAAAATATAAAACCTATTACGCCTGCGCGACGCTGCAGACGTTGCAGATGCCCGAATTGCCAAAACCCATCAAATAATGACCCATCGAAAAAGAAAGTGCACGTATGCCACTTTCCTGGTTGTGAAAAGGTTTATGGGAAAACAAGTCACTTGAAAGCTCATTTACGTTGGCATTCCGGGGAGAGACCATTTGTATGTAATTGGTTGTTTTGTGGGAAAAGTTTCACGCGCTCGGACGAATTACAACGCCACCTACGAACACATACGGGCGAAAAACGTTTCGCTTGTCAAACATGTGGCAAAAGATTCATGCGAAGTGATCACCTCAGTAAACATGCAAAAACTCATGAAACCAAACGACAAAAGACAAAACATGAGGGAGACTCCGATACGGAAAATAACGAAAATGTCCGCCCAGTGCCACGGACAAATACGGAAACTGACGATGAGGATTCGGATATTGACGTAGAATTTGACGATTCGGATGTGTCCGATATATAGTCAAGTGATAGAAAATAGTGCTTGTAACACGAATTTTATGATGTGCCCATAAAACTTCCAGTCTGTGATTCTTTAATAAGATATCGAAGGATGCTGATGTACAAATCAAAGTTAAACTTCAACACTTTTAAGTTATCATTTACTAATATTTTGATATAACTTTAATGGTAATTGTTTTTAGAAAATGTATATGAAAATGTCTTTTTTAGTGCTATTTTGTTTATGAAATCATGCGAGACGTTTGTTTTGTTTATGTTTTAAAGTGCATGACATTGTGATATTATAAAATAAAAGAAACATTTAAATGATAACTTAAATAAATATGTTTTAAAATATATATATTGTCTACGTGTTTTATGCAATAGTTTATCTTCTAAAATTACACAGAATATCAAATATAATATTATAGATTTTAGTCCCCTAAATGTTCAATAATGATAACTTACGGTGGAAATTATATGGTCATATATTACGGAAGGCATGGTGATATGTAAAGGACATCTCTTTGTCGCTTCTCCCCTTCTTATATTCCAGTATAGAAATTCATAAGTAGGCCCTATGGAATATTTTCCAGAAGTAAAAAAAAAAGACGAATATTTAGTGGTATTCAGCCGATAGATTATCAGTAACCGTTAATCGAGTTGCTTAACTGCTCCGGCACCACGTCTGCTGTTTCATTTGAGAGCCTGAAACTACTCGAACTACTAGAATATGTTCTGATTTTAAAGGTTTTTACGATTGAAATGAAATAAAATCTCAACCGACAAGATAGTATCACGAAGTTCTTTAGGCGGCGTTTCTCTGATGTATAGTAATTATTCCTCGAGAGTACTTACCGTTTATCTGTTATATGAAAATAACCGCTTTGAGGCAGGAACAAAAACTGTTTATTTTATTTGCATTTTGAAATATTTCGATACGATATTTCTACTTATTAACAAAAATATTTCGTTCAGTCTTTTTTTTCTTCTTCAAACGTTGGTGATGTAGTCGCTAGCGTCATACTTCAGTAAAGTGTATTTGTGTATACATTAAAAAGAAATGGGAGTAGTAATCCGAATGTTATTTTATTTAACTGCAATATCTTAATAATTGTAACAAAATGCATTTTATTCAAAGGCCATAGAAAACATTACACACATGTCTTCTCCACTGAGAAATATAAGCCTAAGAACATATAATAAAAGAAAAATTACATAGGTAAACTGTTGCACTGGTGCACTTTGGAAAAAAAAGGGAAATGAAAAGACAGAAAAACTGGTGCACTTTGGAAAAAAGGGAAAAAACAGACTATATCAAAGAAAGAAAGAAAGAAAGAAAGAAAGAAATATATATGCAAAAGATAGGTTATAAGGATATATACCCGGTCGTTTCTTAGCTATTCTAAGCCTGGATTATTTTAAAAGCATTGCAACGCTTTTCATATTTCAGGTCGTTTCGCACAATAAATTGATTATTTGGAAACATGAGGTGAGCGAATGATCTAAGTTTTTACGCAAACAGTTATTTGTCAAGACTTTTATCAAACGAGACACAAATCTCGGAAAAAATTAGTCTGCTTTAAAAGGCATACACACCCACAAAAAACCACAACAAAACAAACAAACTCAATTGGGTCCTTTAATAATAATAATAATAATAATAATAATAATAATAATAATAATAATAATAATAATAATAATAATAAATAAAAGATTGTTTCCACTTCAGAATACTTAAAACTTAAATGATAAAATTTTGAAAACGTAAAAAAATCAATTTTAATGTCGGTTTAGAAGAATATTTGTTGTTCACATTCATTCAATGGATTCGTACGCGTTATCTGTGAAAATAATTCAAATGATAGCAATTGAAATTATTATTTTTCCATATTTCTAAATAAATCTGATTACTATTCATCCGTCATTTTTGAGGGCTTTAATCGCATATGCGTTTAACGCTTATTTCCACGTTCATCAAATGCATTGCATTTGGGTTTAAATTGAGGTAGGAACGACAACTCTGCTTGGAGTCTAATGTAGGAAACGTGACTGATTAATCAAAAATATTGTGAGAAAATGTGCAATGTCTTCCAACAAATCATTGTAAGAATAATTATGCGTAACGTGTGAAAAAATGTGTGTTAATTAACGTGGAATCAATGAATTAGTTTAAAATGGTGTTTTTTATTTAACGTTTATATCTTTTAATGAAAGCCATTTGATTGCCAAACTTTCTGCCAAGAGGTTGTTCAGCCAATGTTTTCCCACTTGAAGCTTCGAAGCGCATTACTAATTGTAGGTATACGTAATTAACTCTTAATTCAACATAAAATACAAATCACTTGTTAAAAGATGTTTTGTGTTTCCATATTAAAGGCACGTTATGTCAGAATTGAATAAAAACGTTCATTCTGAAGAAAGGGTAAACATGAGTTTTATAACGTTTGAATAACAATTTTAGAGCATTTTAGATGCTTATCACCTCAAGAAAGTATAATGTGTCAAGAAGTAGTAAAATGTAAACAAAGTAGTAATATGACTTCCAAACTAAATCTTTTTATTTTTACTTAGTGCCAACATGCAACAGAAGCAAACGATGGTTCAGGTAAATGGTCAATAAATAACGTTTAGGAACTATAACATGGGGAAAAAATAGCTTTGACAAAAAAAGAGAAGAAAATAATTTATGCGCTAAGGCGAACACTATGCGGTATACAAAACTAACAAACAAATTAATGACAAAGAAAACAAGTTATTTTCGAAAAGCATTGCAATGCTTAATTGCTAAATAAATGTTGTTTTCGAAACTGTGATCATGTTATAAGGCTTATTTCCAGGTACGCAAGTTGATGAAGACAAAAAGTATCGTACCATTCACAACATTTTTCAAATGTTTATATGATCTTCTAAGACATTTATTATTGTAGTTATGCGTTTACATTAAGACGTTCCAATGTCAAAGGCGAGAGCTGAACATTTAGAAATAATGCCTGAACTTGTCCAAATGTTTCATTTTTAGATATTTGTATATGAAACGGCCGGAATACCATGTCATAGACCCAGACTTTTTAACGCCGGAAAACTACGGCATCTACATATAGCCTTTGAAATACCCGGAAAGCTATGACATGAGCTTAGACTTTGAAACACCTTGAAAACTACGGCATTGACCTGACCTTTGAAACGCCAGGAAAACTACGGCATTGACGCCCGGATTACTTCGACATGAACCTAACCTTTGAAACGCCCCGAAAATACGGCATGAACCTAGCAATATTAAAAACCTTATTTAAGCCCTACGTAAATGCTATAATTTTCATATTTAACACACATAATTTTTAAGAAATACAGCGTTTTTCGTTTTCATTGGACGACAAATAAAGCTGGAAACTAAATGATTTTTGTGTGTGTTTGCTACAGTTTCTGTAACGGTTCCCATTGGCACAAAGGCGTAACCATCTCTTTTTGGACTCATAGTTTACAGTGATGTAGTAATTTGTATAGAAGACAAAATAAATTTTGTTTACTTATTTCTACTTTAAAGTTTTTTTACATTTAATGCTGCTTCCTTAATATGAGAAGTATCTATCGTGATCTAAAAAATAATTATTTAGATAATTTATCTTTTTTAAGGAGGAAAAAAACCAAACAACATATCTAATAAGAGGGTCAACGCCTGCATCTGTGAGTATGAAAATGCATTTAAGTGAATTGGTCTGTAAATACTAAAAATAATTATGTTGATAGAATTAAGTATCGCACATAACAACTAACAACGGATGAATTATATATAAATGTTTGCATGATCCAATATAACATATATTCATATCGCAGATAATAAATTGTTCTAGAACAGAATATTATTATTCATCATATTTTAATGTTCATACGAATCAACAAGTTTTCAACGAAATATTTTATAAGAATTTGTGATTGATAAATTTCTTTTGTTTTTTTTTATCTACATTTGAAATATTTATGGAAAATGTACCCATTGAAGACCAATCTACTCTAAATTACCATGCGTATTAGAAAATCTTGGGAAAATAAAATTTTGTCTAGTCAATTATCATTGATGTAAGCGACTTCTTAACGCGGGAATCATTGCATACCTTTATACATGTAGCATGAATAAAACATTTTCAAAAGCGGAAACAACTATATTTTAGCAGGTATTCACAGCGTTAAAACTCCTTTTTTCCACATCGTAACGTAAATAGTAACAACGATAAATATTCTTAAATAGAATGCAGATAAAAATCTTCGAAATATGTGCAAAAAGTAAACGTTATAAGCGATATTAAAACAATGCAACTCTATCATGGCCCAAGTTCCTCTAATTTATTATGGAGCATCATTTTTAATGTCTTAAATTCAATTATCGATTCACATAATGTGCACTCTCGATGTCAAAGCTGCATCCCTCCAGATTTATGTACCGTATATTTTATTAAATTTAGGAAAAGAGTGTTTGATAAAAATATTGCAAACGAACAACGCGATTAAAAGTTGTCTAAGACATCTTACATAATCCGAGTCATTCACAGAATTAGTCAAAAATCTGTCAAAATATGCCGCAATGAATTTAATCTTAGTTGTATATCTCTCAACCCCTCGGAGCGTGCACTTCACAGAAAGACGATTTCCAGAACTTAGGGCGGGTAAAGTAGTGTAAGTGGACCGAAATTCGTATGAAGAAGATAAGCTGCCAATGTCACGACTGATGCCGAGGCGAGTATTTTGTATGCCAATTGGTTGCGGGGACGACCAGGAAAGGTACTAGGATGCGTGGGCGAATTGTACGTAGAAACGGCTTGTAAAGCGGCTCCCTGTCTTTAACATCACAAAACTTCTTTGCCCTTTTTGTCATAAGTTACAAGCATGTTTTAAAGTCTCATTTCTAGTTATACAGTATTTAAACTTCATCTTCTTGTCAGAATTGCACTAACGTAAATAATCAACAATTTGTGCTTCAAGATTAACTTTTGAATTGCATGACAGTGACACGTCTGAGGCCCTATTATGAGGGCGGATAAATCCTCATTTAACTTAGAATACATAACTGCAAATCGGCTCTTACTCGGCAGTAATTAGTGTAGCCGCTATTTCATGAAGAAACCAGTGCTGATATTGAAAATTGTGATTGGCATATTTCAATTAGCCAGGTCAGGTGTTTCTAAAAAGGCTGATAACACTGTAGCAATGTGAGGATACATTCAAATTTATTACATAGATAATGCACGTGGAGCTCAGCTCGCAGAGACAAAATGTGAACACAGTAACTTAAA